CGCTTACTGGTATATTGTCACAGATACTTACTTCTTCACTCGAGGGTCATCCGTCCTGCTCTGAGTGTTACCTACTTGTACTTCAGATAGAGCGAAAGTGAACAGAGTATCAGTTGGTTTGCAGCGACCTTTGTATCCCCATCTCAGTAGAAATCTCCTGGTGCAAGCGTTGTTCGTTTCACATGAGGGATGCGGGACACACTAGCTGATCCGATCGTCTCTCTACTTGGTTGCTCACACGTATGGTCGTTGTGTACACCTTGCGCTCCTTTCTTACCGCCGTGCTCAAGTGCGGGTACACCCTGCACACCCTGTTCGTGCCTGCCTYCCACTGCGAAAGGGGCTGGGTACACCTTGCGCACCTCTGGATCCGCCTGTCCCCCCCGGCTTTCCCGTGGTCTGTCCTATATCCTGTCTCGGTCCCAGCTCCTATGAGCTCATTCCTGGCCCTCAGCGGTACCTGCTCATTGCTGAGGGTTAACACTCTTTGTACCCCTAGTACCAGGCCCAACACCCCCGCTATAACCGGACTGCAGTCGCTGGTCATGGGTTACTGGAAACCCGGGTCCACAGGTCTACAACAACGAGGGTACCGACACTGTCCAGGGATACCCAGCAATACCTGAGGCAGCACCGGGAATTCACACCACCGGTCCTAAGGCCTCAACCAAAAATAGCGGAGTGGCACACCGCAGCAACCAGCACCGTTACCGTACTGATGACGAACTCGTAATAAACATCGAGGGCTACTATAATTTGCACCGTGTCGAGGATGGTCCAATACTGAACCTGTAGTACCGTTGCTGAAACAATATCTGAAAATAATGCAGTGGCGTGTACCATACCGTTACCGAACCAATAAGGAGCCTGAAAATGTTGTAGTGGAGTGTAGCACATGGACGCCAAGTCAGTCTTGAGCCCGTAACATGTAAAATACCATGCAATGCCGCGGCCCCTCGGGAGTATCAAACCATTACCATAGCAATACCGAACCTGAATAGTCTGCACCATACCGGCGTCGAGTCTGTCCCGAACCTGAAAACTAATGCCAGACCGCTGTACCGCGTCAACGTCGGACCGTGYAGCCATGTCATAATAGTCCCGAACCTGCCCCAAGCCTGACTGTCGGGCCCGAACCAAACCAGCAACCGCACAAAGTATAGTAAAGCCACACGATCCATCTCAAAATAATCCCAGTAACGATACTGCGTTGATCATCAAAYGCACACCTACTCATCTCACACAGGTTGCAGCGAGGCTAAGTCAGGTAACCCACGCAAATGATCCCGATTACCGGGAATTAGAGAAAATCGTTAGATTTAGAGTAAATAAATAATCCGGGAGTAAATCCGATCGCAAATAATCTGATCAAAATTCAGTCGATTATTTAATAATCATTTTTAATTATTTTTCTTATTTCTTAATTCTATTATCGAAAATAACGAAGACAAAAGCATTTCCATCAAAAGAAAAATGGAGAAGATTCCTTTTTTTTTTCTTTCCGTCTACCATTTTAATTATTTTTCTCATTTTTTATTTTAATATTAAAATTAATGAAATCCGAGGCTTCATTCCCGTGCCAGTTGCGCAGCATAAAAGGGACCACGCCTAGGCCTATTCTC